CGGGGGGGGGGGAGGCTTTGCGTTTTGCCAATAGACACCGGAAGTCGTCACGCTTGTTCCCGTATACACGAAACAGCTGCGTGCACGGTAGGAAGGGGGCTATTGAGCAATACGAAGGATCGAACGTGAGCTCGTTACGCGGGTCTATAGAAACATTGTAAACTGTAGTCGATCGACGAGTAAAAAATAGCTAAGTGACGGATGGTAACACGTGTTCGATGCTGGGATCTCCCGTAGCCAAATTACCCAGTGGCCAAATGTCACGAATGACTTTACATCGTTTTACTACGCGTTACCGTTGGACACAAAGAAATGTCAATGAAAAATTTTGCCACGAACCTCCCACTTCGTCGTCCGTCACTTTAACCTGCCTCAATCGTGGGTCGAGCGTATTCGTGTGTCTTCTTGATATCGGGCGAGTGACGTTAACTTCGTATGGATTCGCCGCCCGAGTTCTGTTGAGCAGATCAAGAAAAAGTATTAAGGAGGAACCGGGTCGGCGCCTGTTTTTGCCATTTACTGCCGTCGCAATGTCGCCCGACCTAGAAGTCTCGTGAAATCCATTCAGCTATTTCGTATGACCTCACATCGATCTTCTCTGTCTCTCCTCCTCCCTCTCTATCCCTATCCTTCCTTTTCTCCTATTCTCCTCCTACTCGCATGACCCCTTCTTCTCTGTCGACCGAGCCATAAGTATCGGCATCCCTCATCCTACTTGCAAACTGCCTAAATTTGGTTCAACGGCCCGCCACGAAAATTGCCGGACGTCACGCTCGCACTTTGCGACGCCAACGACTCGCGCACCATTTCTATAGATAAGATATTGCGAGGGAAAAAGAGCGATTAAAAAGATATATCTATACGTGCCTCGTGGTTAATAACCACAGGACGAACGAAGAGAATTGTCACTGCCATCCAGTTCCCCGAAGTCTGTCGTTCTATCTTGAGAATCTAATCTACTGGCAAATTGTCTAAACCACCCTTAAATATATATATACGCATATACACACTGTATAAGCAGTCGTGCTGTCCATTAATAAGAAGCAACCCTCTAATAAGAGGGTTGAAAGCGCAATATCGATTGGCCCTGACTCCTTTATATCTGTTTTTCGAAATTTTCTCTTTATCCGTTTTACATGCCTCTCTCTCTCTCTCTCTCTCTCTCTCTCTCTCTCTCTCTTCCTTCCTCCCTCTCCGAAGGCTAGTGTTGCTAGGTAGGCGATAAGGAATGTCAGCCAGTCATCGTATGATTTAGTAAAACTTTAACCGAGGAGCCAGGGAATCATCCGCCGAGCCCAGAGCTCTCGGTGGCTCCGGGCGGGCCGCTTAAAAAGAACCCATTGTTGTTGATTAATAACCGCAGGAACCCCTGAGCCCCCC